TTTATGGAATTTATCAAAAAAATTAACAGGATTAATATGTTTTTTAAATCCGGAAGGGCCTAGAAAAGTTTTGAAAAGAGAAAATTTTAGCAAAGCTAATTTTTTTGATTCAATAACATTAAAAGGCAAAAAGCATGAAGAGAAAATGGAATATTCTCACATTGAAATTTGTATAAAATTTGAAAATCCTGGAAATTATTTTATTATCGTTTTCAATTTTTTTACTGTTGGATGGATTCAATTCTACGTTAAAATTAAAAAATCAAACGAGGAAAAATGTGTGTACAAAATGTTCAAGCAAATTTCTGATTCAGATAAAAATCTATTGAAAAATTTGAGACATAATGTAACAATCTATATATCAAAAACAGAGGTAGATGATATTGAAAATGGTGAAATGTATGTATATAGTGAAAATTTGTTCAACAACTCCACCGAAACAAAATTTGTTGCCACAATAACTCCTTTGTTTACTGATGGAAGTTATGAATTTCACTTGGATGAGGATGGAATCACTAAAGAAAGAATGAAGATTGTTGAGCCGAATTTTTAAAATTAATAAAAGGAAATCATATAAATGAGAAAACTTCATTAGGAAATCTGTAAAGGACTTTTATGGGTCTACCAAGATTGTCTATAGAGTACTTTTCGATTCCTCTCGCCGAGCTGAGTTCAAATATTCAAGAATTTTTTGCCGGAGATTTTCCAATATTGATATCGGTTTCATCCGTTATCGATCTCGAAACCGATACAAGAATCGACCGATATCGTTATTATTAACGAATAAATTTTTCAGTGGACGTCTAGGTATGTTTGATACACGAGAGTTAAAACGAGTAGTCTGATTAGCAAAAAGAATTCATCTACACTCTGTTCCAAAATTATAAGTCCACCCTGTTTTTTATCATATCTTATTGAAAAGTGTCTAAATTTTTTTGAAAATTTTACATAATTTATATTTTTCTATTTAAAATTTGTCTTAAAAAAATTTGTAGCAACTAAAAAATTTCTATAAACAAATAATGAATTTAAAGTGTTCCATAATTATAAGGTTACCTTTGTTTTATATGTAGGTTTTTAAAATTGGGAAAAATCTACAAAAATTTTTGTGAAAATAAGTATCAAAAGAAATGAAGTTCATACAAAAGAGATGAAGTTCTGATATACTCCCATCATCGAGATCATGAAACCCGAAAATCAACTGAAAACCGTAGGTAAACGTTTTTAAAAATAAGATATGATAAAAAAATAGGGGGACTTTGGAACAGAGATAATTTTGGAACAGAGTATATCTTATGAATGAATGTGTTATGAGTTATGAGTGAGAGCGACATGTTATTCTATTATTGCACTTTATTGGCTAAGTAAATGATTTAAATTAAATAAATAAACAAGTATTTCTCAATAATTTTAAAAGAAATACCGACTAAAAGTGCAAAATAATTTTTTATATAAATAAACACAAAATACGTTTTTAACCAAAAAGTACAAAAATGTGCACTATATACAGGATGTCAGACCTTTTAAATATTTCATAATTAGCTTTAATGTACTATTCACATGAATTAATCTTATGAAGAGTCTTAAATCTAAAAAGTCTTAAATCTAAAAATAATTTTATTTAAAAGTTTTAATGAAGAATAAAATTAAATTTTTTGTTCTTTTATTTACTTTATTATTTTCTTCTTTTCCCTCTGGAAATTTACTAAATAATCAACGAATTTTGGTTGAATCTACAGAAAATAATAAAAATAAAAATGGAAGTGTTAAAATAAATTTGTTGAGAATGGAAGTAAATAAAATTGATGAAGTATTTAGCGAGTATAAAATTGAAATTATATATGAAATTGATGAAAATAATAAAAATGATTACGTTTATACAAGTTTCGGGCCTCCTTATGATTGTAATGAACCTGATCAAAATGCACACAAAATAAAAAGAATAATTAATGGAACTAATGGGAAAAAATTAATTTTGTTTGAGGGTGTTGAATATGTTATAAAATTGAAAAAATTAAATATTTGCTTGATAGAATATAGTGAAATTTCTGAGATTGAAGAGAAGGTGGATTTTGGTAGATTAAAAAGATATCGAGTAAATCAGATGATTAAGATAGATATCGAGGGATTAAAAGATTAAGCGGGTTTTGATTGCATTATCTATGAGCCAAGATAAAGAGGCTCAAAATGGTACGAAAATCTATGGGGCGTCGGCGAGGCGCTTGTTGCGGCACGCGTCTCGCAAGGAGTCTACGATCGCTGGGTTATGGGCTCGTAAATTAATCCGACCCTATACGCAAATGAGGACCTTAATCCTATTCTTTTTTACTGATTCTCAGCTTTGAATGCCGACCTATCTTCAGTAGCAACACCTACAGTTATTCAAACGAAAGTTAGTTATTCATAATTTTTTTTAGAATCATCGGATCGAGCTGGTGTCATTTAACTCAGCTCGTCGAGCTATTTCAAATAATTTATCTTTTGTATATTCGAATTTTTCGGCCCTATCCCAAAAGAAGGGCGGAATCGTTTTTTTCATTAAATGTAAGGAAAGGAAAAATGGAAAGGTAAAATGAAGAAAATGGAAATGAAAAAGGAGACGGATAGACACGGACAAATAAAACACGGACGGACTCGGACAGACAAAACACGGACGGACAAAACACATAACATCGTCCGTGTTTAGTCTGTCCGAGTCTGTACCACTCTTTTTTTCATCTCCGTAAAAAAGAGTGGTACCGTTCGCTCAGCTTACCAAAACGAATCGAATGGTATGGGTATTATATCGAAACCTTTCCACCGGTATACTATACTACAGCTTCCGTAGAATACTTTTGATTGAAGTTATGTAAATAAATACTTCACTCCGAACTTTTTTGTCACGCTGTAAAATGCGTTCATAATAATTTATTTTGCAAATGAAAAAAATTAACCGCTCATTTATTGTGTAAGGGTTAAACACTCAAATAACACTTAATTATAGTGTTATTAATTTTAATTTGGATTAGATAGCCCTATCTCCCATTTTAAATAATTTACACACAATTCTTGTACATTATCTGAATATATTTCATTTTCAGAAGTTATTGATCAAATTGGTACCTACATTTTTTTCACAAATTGATTTGGAGATAAATAAACTTTCAAATGAGAATGTAGAAAAAGCTGCTATTTTTCCCGGTGCTCAAATAAGTATAAACGGGATTAAATCATTTTTATGGAATTTATCAAAAAAATTAACAGGATTAATATGTTTTTTAAATCCGGAAGGGCCTAGAAAAGTTTTGAAAAGAGAAAATTTTAGCAAAGCTAATTTTTTTGATTCAATAACATTAAAAGGCAAAAAGCATGAAGAGAAAATGGAATATTCTCACATTGAAATTTGTATAAAATTTGAAAATCCTGGAAATTATTTTATTATCGTTTTCAATTTTTTTACTGTTGGATGGATTCAATTCTACGTTAAAATTAAAAAATCAAACGAGGAAAAATGTGTGTACAAAATGTTCAAGCAAATTTCTGATTCAGATAAAAATCTATTGAAAAATTTGAGACATAATGTAACAATCTATATATCAAAAACAGAGGTAGATGATATTGAAAATGGTGAAATGTATGTATATAGTGAAAATTTGTTCAACAACTCCACCGAAACAAAATTTGTTGCCACAATAACTCCTTTGTTTACTGATGGAAGTTATGAATTTCACTTGGATGAGGATGGAATCACTAAAGAAAGAATGAAGATTGTTGAGCCGAATTTTTAAAATTAATAAAAGGAAATCATATAAATGAGAAAACTTCATTAGGAAATCTGTAAAGGACTTTTATGGGTCTACCAAGATTGTCTATAGAGTACTTTTCGATTCCTCTCGCCGAGCTGAGTTCAAATATTCAAGAATTTTTTGCCGGAGATTTTCCAATATTGATATCGGTTTCATCCGTTATCGATCTCGAAACCGATACAAGAATCGACCGATATCGTTATTATTAACGAATAAATTTTTCAGTGGACGTCTAGGTATGTTTGATACACGAGAGTTAAAACGAGTAGTCTGATTAGCAAAAAGAATTCATCTACACTCTGTTCCAAAATTATAAGTCCACCCTGTTTTTTATCATATCTTATTGAAAAGTGTCTAAATTTTTTTGAAAATTTTACATAATTTATATTTTTCTATTTAAAATTTGTCTTAAAAAAATTTGTAGCAACTAAAAAATTTCTATAAACAAATAATGAATTTAAAGTGTTCCATAATTATAAGGTTACCTTTGTTTTATATGTAGGTTTTTAAAATTGGGAAAAATCTACAAAAATTTTTGTGAAAATAAGTATCAAAAGAAATGAAGTTCATACAAAAGAGATGAAGTTCTGATATACTCCCATCATCGAGATCATGAAACCCGAAAATCAACTGAAAACCGTAGGTAAACGTTTTTAAAAATAAGATATGATAAAAAAATAGGGGGACTTTGGAACAGAGATAATTTTGGAACAGAGTATATCTTATGAATGAATGTGTTATGAGTTATGAGTGAGAGCGACATGTTATTCTATTATTGCACTTTATTGGCTAAGTAAATGATTTAAATTAAATAAATAAACAAGTATTTCTCAATAATTTTAAAAGAAATACCGACTAAAAGTGCAAAATAATTTTTTATATAAATAAACACAAAATACGTTTTTAACCAAAAAGTACAAAAATGTGCACTATATACAGGATGTCAGACCTTTTAAATATTTCATAATTAGCTTTAATGTACTATTCACATGAATTAATCTTATGAAGAGTCTTAAATCTAAAAAGTCTTAAATCTAAAAATAATTTTATTTAAAAGTTTTAATGAAGAATAAAATTAAATTTTTTGTTCTTTTATTTACTTTATTATTTTCTTCTTTTCCCTCTGGAAATTTACTAAATAATCAACGAATTTTGGTTGAATCTACAGAAAATAATAAAAATAAAAATGGAAGTGTTAAAATAAATTTGTTGAGAATGGAAGTAAATAAAATTGATGAAGTATTTAGCGAGTATAAAATTGAAATTATATATGAAATTGATGAAAATAATAAAAATGATTACGTTTATACAAGTTTCGGGCCTCCTTATGATTGTAATGAACCTGATCAAAATGCACACAAAATAAAAAGAATAATTAATGGAACTAATGGGAAAAAATTAATTTTGTTTGAGGGTGTTGAATATGTTATAAAATTGAAAAAATTAAATATTTGCTTGATAGAATATAGTGAAATTTCTGAGATTGAAGAGAAGGTGGATTTTGGTAGATTAAAAAGATATCGAGTAAATCAGATGATTAAGATAGATATCGAGGGATTAAAAGATTAAGCGGGTTTTGATTGCATTATCTATGAGCCAAGATAAAGAGGCTCAAAATGGTACGAAAATCTATGGGGCGTCGGCGAGGCGCTTGTTGCGGCACGCGTCTCGCAAGGAGTCTACGATCGCTGGGTTATGGGCTCGTAAATTAATCCGACCCTATACGCAAATGAGGACCTTAATCCTATTCTTTTTTACTGATTCTCAGCTTTGAATGCCGACCTATCTTCAGTAGCAACACCTACAGTTATTCAAACGAAAGTTAGTTATTCATAATTTTTTTTAGAATCATCGGATCGAGCTGGTGTCATTTAACTCAGCTCGTCGAGCTATTTCAAATAATTTATCTTTTGTATATTCGAATTTTTCGGCCCTATCCCAAAAGAAGGGCGGAATCGTTTTTTTCATTAAATGTAAGGAAAGGAAAAATGGAAAGGTAAAATGAAGAAAATGGAAATGAAAAAGGAGACGGATAGACACGGACAAATAAAACACGGACGGACTCGGACAGACAAAACACGGACGGACAAAACACATAACATCGTCCGTGTTTAGTCTGTCCGAGTCTGTACCACTCTTTTTTTCATCTCCGTAAAAAAGAGTGGTACCGTTCGCTCAGCTTACCAAAACGAATCGAATGGTATGGGTATTATATCGAAACTTTTAGGCCCGAGACCGAGACGGTAGATCAAAACTTGAAAACCGCTAAAAATTCTCTTTTAAATTTTTAAATAATTTTATTCTGATTTTGTATCCAACAAACAATTCTCTTTCAGTAAATAAAAGCTAAATAGTCCTGAAAGAGACAGTTCAAAAAAGCTTCTCGTTTTAAATATCCCATCAATAATTGAATAAAATTGAATAATTATGAAATTTATTTTCAATTTACATAGTAAATATTTCGGATAGAAAAATAAATAAATAAATTTTTTAAAAATATTTTCAAATAATTATCTCTCTCTCTTTTCCAATTTATTTCTTTCTTCCCCACAAATTATTTAAAATAGATCCGCTGGTTAATCCATCAACATAAAATAGTTGTCTTTTAAATCTCGGAATTATATCAGAATTAATTTCAGAATTTTCAATATCCAATGTTGGATGTGTTAAGTATTGCTGTCTTTCACTCATTCGCTTCTTTCTCCACAAATTATTTAAAATAGTTCCAGAAGTATAAAAATCTGCCCAGCGTTTATTTGCTTGTTTTGAATTCAAAAAATTTTCATTATCCTCCTCATCTGTTCTAATTTTATTTTTATTTGTAATTTCAGTTAAATCTCTCCTTTTCCTCCACAAATTATTCAAAATTGTTCCACTTGTAAATCTATCAACATATTGGGCTTGAACAGAAGAATGCTCCCAAACTTGAATTAATATAAACATTAAAAACAGCATTGTTGTTGGACGTAGAAATGTAGTAATTGTAAAACTAGACATTTTGTAATTTTTATTTTACAATTTGTAAAAGAAAAAGTTTATTTTTTAGAGCAAGTTTGTTAGAATTGCAAAACTTGAAGAAAATGCTTTAAGAATAAGTTGCAAATATTTGTAAAACTTGTTTTACAATTTGTTGTTTTAATTGAGAATAAAGTTTATTTTTGTAATAAGTTTATTTATTTGAATAGGCTTATTTTTACAAATGTAAATTTGAAGTTGTAAACTTGAAGTTTTATTTTATTTGAAGAAGAATGTTTAAAGAATAAGTTTGATAAAATTGTAAAACTTGACTCTCTTTTTATACTCTCAAAAATAATTTCAAGTTTGTAGTCTACAATAAATCAACTACAACTTTTTCTTTCCTTTTCAGTTCAAACATTCTTCCGAAATACAATTAAAAATTAATTTTCGCGCATCAACAAGTTCCAAAAATAATTATTTTCCTTTTTGGGCGTTTAATTCATTTATAAATTAATTGGTTATTTAACTTGTTTTTGGACAAATAAACATGATTTTTTCATTTATTTTTGTTTGTTTGTATTTTGTAGTTTAGAATAGGGTTTGACCCCGAACGCTCGGGGGCGGGTATGTCGGGGTACGGGGTTTGCGAATTGTTTAGGGGCAGGGTTCGGGTCGGGGGAGCAAAATATGCTCGGGGTTCGTGTCGGGGTACGGGGGTTTAGGGGACTCGTAACTTCTTTAATGGGCGATCAGACATGATCCATCAATTTGAAATTATATTATTTGGAAAAATCGAGTAGAGTAGAAAATGGCGGGAGATATCCGAATATTACCCGCTAATTTATGAAAAAAAAATAAATTCAAAATCACAAGATTTTATAATCCATGAAAACTATATTTATTAACTTTAATTTTGAAATTTTCAAAAAAATTTGTAAAGATTTTTTCTAGGCTTTCAATAGTTTATGACCATTTATATGTAGTCAGTTCAGTTGACTACAAAAGACACAATTTATTTTTAGTTGTAAACACTTCCTTTGTAAAAGAATTTCAAATCATTCATTCCTTTTCTTTCATTTATGTGATCGTGTATACGGCGGGCGCGAGGGGGGGGGGGTGAGGGTGTTAATTCAGAATTAAATTTAAAATTAAACTCAAAGTACTTTATTTTAGGTCAAAATTGGAATTAAATCCAAAAATGGTTAAAAAATTTGTTAATTTCCTTTTCTTAACTTTTTTTCCTTTAAAGATCGTTTATAGTACACATTTCTATTACGTACAAATTTGTAATAAACTTAAACTTTTTATAATTCTATGAAGATCACTTATGTTACAATAAATAAACTTGAATTACAATTTACAAATAAACTTAATATATAATTTAATTACAATTGAAACGTGAAATCCAAAACAACTTGTAATAGAAACTTAATTACAATCTTATATCTAAACTTGAATTTTTAAAACTTGAAGCAAATTTGTAAACTTGGTTTAATAAACTTGATTAGGTAACTTGAAATACAATTACAATCTAAACTTAAATTAATTATTTATTATTTATGTATATTGAATGAAATTAAATTTTATTTTAAACAAAATTAAAATTTTTAAACTTTCAAATTTATTTTCCAAAACAAATTTATTTTTCCCGATTTTTATAAAAATAGACGGATCGGAACTAACGGATACTTGAAAATTTCTACCCGGATCCGGTCAGGCTTTCTTAACAAACAGATTAAAAAATGTTCTATTTAGTGAATATGTACAGGGTGCGTAAAAAGTTCCCGGACTTAATCAAAATGAATTTATTTTCTTTAATTTCAAAATAAAAATAAGTTTACACAGACAAAACGTTCATAAGACTCTTGTAAATAAATATTCTTAACAAATTTCCAAAATGATATCCGCCCGCTGAGATACACGCATGCAAATGCCTCCGAAAATTTCCTACTATGTTGTCCGACTAGCTGCGACCAAACGCTTCATAAAAATATTTTGGATAATAGCTTTGCGAGGGCTATTCGACTTTTATTCTCTGAAAAATAATTGTAAACTAAATGCTTTCTGAACCAAAAAATAGTGCTAAATATGATTATCAACAAATTTTGTTGTAAAAATCAAAATTTAAACTCAATAATTGAAATTATAAAAATTCCGGGAACTTTTTACGCACCCTGTATACGTTAAAGTAATAAAAAAATTTTTTTAAATATGTATTAAATTTATTCAGAAACAAAAATTACAAAAAAATATATTTTATTATCAAAATAAAAATAATTATTTTTGTTTCTTTTCTTCTGATTCTATTTTTTCAAACCAATCAACAATTAAAAATAATATCCACTTAAAACATTTAAATGTCACCCAAAACAAAATAACCAAAACAATTATAGAGAAGAGAATAACATCAAGTGAATAATAAACAAACCAATTCATTTCCTTTTCTCCAGGTAAATTAAGTTCTGGCAAATCTCCAAATTCTGCAGCAAATTCAACCCATTTTACAAGTCTTTCTGTTGGGCTGAATGGAGTTAATTTTAATTTTTTGGATATTATCTTGGCGTTTTGTTGGTATTTTGGTTGGTAGAGAATCTGGAATTTTGAACTCATTAAAAGTTGATTCTCTCCCTGTTATACCCTTTCTATCGCCTCAACCAGTACTTGTTCAGCATTAGGTCCGCTCAATTCATTAACATCTATTTGTATTCCTATACCAAGTTTTTGAGCAACATCAGCATTATAAAATTGATCTCCGAAAAGAGGAATACCGAGAATGGGAATCCCTGCTCGTGCTGACTCTGTCAAACTGTTTTGGCCACAATGAGAGATAAATGCACGAAGGTTGGGGTGTCCTAGAATATTAAAAATTAAATTGTAGTTTATATGAACTAGTATAAGGGATGTGAACAGTAGGAACTAAATAAACTTGTTTTACAATGAGAAATTGTACTTTTTGCTAGAATATTTTCTCAATTAATTATTTCCTCTATTATTTTCTATTAATTACCCCCCCCTTCATTTAGGAAGAAGTTTAAAAAATATTTACTCTCTATCAATTGACCAATTTCATTTTCAAATTTTGAATTACTTCCTCTACCAAGAGTTTGAACAATAACAACCTGGGTTAATTATTAAAGGAAATACGGTCAATTTACAAAAATAAATTGTAAAAATACACTGAATAATAAACTTGAATCCTAAGCTTGAATCCTAAGAACTAACTTGAATCTTAAGAATAATAAACTTGAATCCTTTAATGTCAAATTTACAATTGTAATACAAACCCAAAATTGCAGGCTGTTGAAGCCACTCAAAAGTATGAATATTTGGCAATTTTGTCAAATTTTTTATTGTATCCCTGTCAAGTTTCCAAAGAAATTGGATTTGTGGAAAACGTCCAAATGCTTTGATAATTGCACTTTTCATTTTATTATTAAGCTTGGTAGTGTCGGCAAGAGATCCAAAAGAGAAGAGTATAGCACCAGTAATTGCCTCGTCCATTATTTTTTGGATTTTCTGGGTAAAATGAGGGGAACTTGAAGAGAACTTGTTTATTTTGAATTAATACCGGTTCCAATATTTTATTTCCTCCAGAAGTATGATCATCAACCAGCCCTCCAATGTAGATAATTTTGTTTGAAATAGGTCTAGGCAATTCAAGGAAGGGATTCGAATTGAAGAATGCTAGCGAAACATTTTTTTGAAGCTCTTTTAAATCTGGGAAATCCTTGCCAAATTCTTCGCGGATTACTGGTTCCTGGATTAATAGATTTTTTAAAATGTTATTATTGTTTATAAAGGAATCTGAGAGACTATTTAATTTGTCTATCCCTGGAAATTCGCTCATTACCGTCAAGCATATTATAATCATAGGAAGGTATACCCTCCATCCTGAATTTAGTTTTGTCAGGCATCGCAACTGGGCCTCTTTTGCCAAAAGCAACCTATTAGGTCCAAAGAAGATAATTCAATCCCGGCCCAGTACAAGCCTTACTTTAACAATACTAGATAATTATAATTTTAAAAGACATACTTGATGCCGTAAAGTAATATCACCAGTCCAAAGCCAGTCGAAGAGTTCGTTATAAAAATTTATGGAACGTGAAACGAAAGAATGTTCGAGCCCTGGTATTGGTACCATCACATCTTAACGTTTTCAAAAATTTTGCTTATGAGATTAATATGTATCTATAAGAGGCCGAAAAAGTTTATTTCTGGGACTGATCGGTCGATTTACTAATATATTATATTATCATTACTTACTTGGCATAAAGCTAGGAAAATTTGGAATGCCAAAAATGCGACTCGTCGCTTGAAATAAAGGAATTGCATAGGCAGTCAGCTTTGTTCGAACACCAATTTTATGGAAAAGAGCTGAAGGACAATAATCATACATCTCCGCTATGCCGACATCAAAACGTTCATTTGTCAATTTTTGTAGTAAAATTGGTTGTTTAAGTGTCTCTGTAAAAACATTATAAATCAGAAAAAATCAGAAATTAGCCCAGCATCTGTTTCTAAAAAATCCATCTATTTAGATATATTCCGTAAGTTTGTATCCTTTGAGCTGTTTAAAATTAGTTTTTTACCTTTACACGACATAGCCATCATAGGGCCGAATTGATGCATAGGATGATCAAATAGCGTTAGGTATTGTCTTTTTTTAGTGAAAGATTCTGAAACCATTGGTTGATCTTTGATATCCATAATTTCATTGTTTTCAAGACCTTTCTCTATTATATGAATTTTAGTAACTTTAGTAGTTTCATTTCGTTGTAGCAAAAGTGGGCTCATAATGTACTTGACGAAATGCTAAAGAAATAATTTAAATATTGTGTTTGCTTATAATGACATAAGGCGTTTTAGATCATCAACCCCCAAACCATACCCCTAATAGTGAACTCATCTTTCATCTTTTGAATTCCTTCACGCGATTATTCGCCTTGTCATGCTTACATATTTGTATGTATCCATTGCATATTTTTCCATTAATGATCATGCTGCCACATTCTACTACATATGTACTAACCATAGTTGGGAGAGGATAAATCGACTATTAAAGGAGAATGAAGGATAGAACAATTAATTGGGAATTGACGGGTTGGAATAACTCTTATGCGATATAAATACTCTTATTCCAATGCGCCTTCCCATACTTTCGTCGCCATTTCGTTCTCATCTTGCCTTTTGACTGGAACGATAGATGGATTGACTGGAAAGATAGATGGACAGTGCCATTCGTCACGAATTCACCGGCACAAAGTTACTATGACTATGAATTAATTAACTAACCACTTCATGGCCAGCATCAACTAAAGTATCCGCAATTCTTCCCAAAAATTTTGCGTGACTCCAACTAACAGAGGGGGAATATACAAGTATTTTGAGTTGTTTTCCTTTTTTAAATTCTGATTGTAATTTATCAGAATTTTGTTGTAAAGTAAATAAAATTAAAGTGGATAAACATAATAGTGGATATAAATATTTGAGTAAACTCATAATCACTGTAATTTAAAGAAATATTTTTTTAATTTACTAAGTTTCTAGAAAAATTTAATAGTTTATTCTTTTGTTCATTTAATTTCTCCATTAAATTTTATTTTTTTTTGAAAAATGGGAAACATTTTTTAAGTGCATACTTCTTTTTAAAATTAAAATTAGTCTAAATTTTAATTTGTTTGTTCTTTTTTTAATTTTAATAGAATTTTAAAAGTAAAATTTTCAATTTAACTTTTATTTAAAAGAAAATTTAGTCCCTCTATATTTTTTAATTGAAAATTAACAGAATATTTAAAAATATAAGTTACCTAATTGACAGCAAAATTTTATAATTACTAGAAGGAATTCCAGAAAGAAAATATACATACATATATAATTACAAAATTATTTTACGGACTAATTTGTAACTTACAATCTAGAATTTGTAAAAATAATTTAAGTTTGCAAAACATGCCGGAAAGCAAAACATTTTAGACATAAAATTTTTAATTAAACTTTTTACAATTGTAAATAATTCCGGAAAGTTGAATAATTTATTTAGGTTTGATATAGTATTCCGGAAAGCGTTTTAATTGTTTAATAATTTTCCGGAAGAGTTGTACTATGATTTAATAGTTTCCGGAAGGATTGTAAAATGATTTAATAGTTTTCCGGAAAGTTTGTAAATTCTTTATTACTTTTCCGGAAGGATTGTAAAACATAAATGTATTTATTCCGAAAGAATTGTAAGATGATTTAAAGGTTTTCCGGAAAGTTATACAAATTAATTAATTTATAAAAACATTCCGGAAATTTTTCCGGAAGGATTGTAAAACATTAAAGTTGTTCCGGAAGAATTGTAATATAATTTAATTATTTTTCCGGAAAGTTATACTAATTATTTAATTAATAAAAATCATTCCGGAAAGTTGTAATATTTTACAAATGTTTCAATAAATTTTTACAATTTCCTATTCTAATTTAAAAAATGTTTCCGTAATTAATTTTTAAATAATTTACAATTAATTTTTAACAAAAGTACATAAATTCTAAAATAATAAAAATTATTATCATTTCTTTTATTTAAATATTTATTAAATTTGTTGACATTTATATTTAATTCCTTCATCGTTTTCTTAATTGTAGTTTGAAAATTTTTGTCTAAATTTATTTTTAATTGTTTGTAGTTTATGACAAATTAATTTTTTCTTTTTTTGTTTTATTTTTATCAGCTGAATAATTTTGAAATTATTTCTGAAGAAAATTTTAAGGTCGCGTGAGTACAGTCTTATTTGGTTTGTTGTCAGCAGGGGTGATCGGAAATTACAAAGGGGCCGGAAATTGAATTAGCACACATTGTGGAACTCAGCAATAATCTTAAATTTTAGAAAGAAGGAAGAAAATTTTGAAGAAATTTCTGAAGAAATTAATGAGAATAAGGTGGGATTAAATGGAAATAAGAGAAATTGGAGTGATAATTAGATTTGGAGGTGATTAAGGAGGATTTGGAGGGATTAAAGCGGATATCCGGTGATATAAGAAGATTTGTAGGGACTGAGGGTAGTTTCAAGGGATATCATTGATTTGTTTTTAGTCCTGTTATCTTTGTAGTTACGGCTGTTTCCGGCAGTAATTCCGATCCGACAGTCATCGGAATGACTGCCGGAAATTGAATTGGCACACATTGCTAAACTCGGCAATAATCTTAAAATTTAAGAAGAAGGGACTTGGAAAGAAAAAATGTCAAAATACCTCTAGTTATCAGTCTTATCAACGCATAGGTCTCGCTGTTAAATTAATGTTATTAATATTAGTTTGTGACAAATCGTAGTTCGTTACTCAAGTTCTTCTGTTTCTTCTGTGACTATTTTAAACAAATAAATATGTAATAAAAAATAATTAAACCGATAAAAAATAATTAATTTTACGTGAGTAGACAAATTAAAAATATTTTTTACCAAACTTTCAATTCTTCCTTGATTTTGTTTTTTATTTAATTCCCTCATTCATTAATTTATTACGTAAGGTTTCTACATAAACTACAATAAAATTAAAATTTTTTTCATAACAAATTTATTCAAATAAAGTGAAAATAAAATATTTATAATGTAAAATTTAACTAATTTTTAAATAAAATTTTTTTTAATTTAAATAAAAATTTAAGGGGAGAGTGAGGAAGAACGAACACCGGGAGAAGTGTGATAAAAAAATAAATAAATGAATAAATATTAGGATTGCCATTTCGTATTTTAAAAAATTTTCTTTTAATTTTAAAAATCATGCCAAAATTTTTAAAATTTTACGTAAAAAATATTTTAAAAAAGCAAAAAAATCGACAACCCGAATATACCGTACAATTTAACTAGAAATAAACTTAATAAATTAAAATTTTGTGAAAACGTATTCCGGAAAGAATGTAACTTTTGGAATTTAGATTTAATAAAAAAAATAAATTTTAGTAAGTTAAATTGCACTTTCTAATAGACAAAAAACTATTTAAAATTTGAAAATTCTTTTAATAAATATTTACAATAAACAATAATTTTTAGTTAAAATTCGAGTTGTGTTCTGGACCGAACCGAAGAACCAAGGATTTTTCGATTCGGTTCTTCTGTTCTGTTTCAAATATCCAAAAAATTTCCAAGAAACGACAACCCTAGTTATAATTATTAGTTAAGAAAAAGGACAAAAAAATATTTTTAAAATTTTTGTCCTTGTTGGCAGATAAAATAAAATATTTTTAATAGTATTTATATTTAAAAATCCGGCTTTTAATTAAATATAAAAAAATTTTTTCCAAGAAAAATAAATTTAATCCACAAAAAATTAAACCGGGTATGAAAATTAGAAAAAAAATTAAAGTTTTGGGAAAATATAAAATTTTGTATAAATTAAATATAATCTCTCCAAAATTAATCATAATCCTCCTCAAAATCAACATTTCTCCCTCTCATTTCTTCACTGGAAAATGGATCTTCAATTACATCAACTTTATCACTTATAGTTATTGCTTTAGAAGAGTGTGGCAATTTATTAAGTAAATTGTTGTTGTTTTTGGCATTGACTTCTGATTCACTAAAAATTTAAATTTATAAGAAAGGTCAGAAAAATAAAGTTTAATTAAAATCAAAATGAGTTTATAATATCGGGGCAAAAACACAGTCAGACCAAAACAGCGTCCACATTTTTGATGTTCGAGAGAAGAAAAAAATGACCTCGGGAGTCGGGAGGCCAAAAACTCTGGAAATTTTCCTGAGTCGGGATCGGGATACCCGAACATCGCTAGTCAACATATTGAAGTGAAAATTTTCAAATAAAATTTACAAAACCAAACCCCACTAGCTATAATGTATAATAATATTACTAGAACATCATAATATGTATCAACACAAGTCAAAAATGTGATGGTACTTTTACTCTGACGGATAGTAAGTCCCTCACCCCCACTGATTTCGTCAGTGGAGTGAGGGACCCTCAGCCCTCTGATTTGCCCCTCACCCCACTGATTTATTAAATTTATTATACCATTTATATTGTCCATCATTCTGATTTTCATAATTACAATCAGAATTTACAATTGTATTATTATTTAATTTAGTCCCAGCATATAATTGACTAAAAAAGTTGCTTGTATTTTCTTCCTTCCCAAATCCTTTATTTAAATAATTTTCTTCTTCTTTCAAATTTTGTTGAAGCAACATTTCTCTGCAAGTCATTAAACTGGAACGACGATGATTTAAATTTTTATTGTTCTGATTAGTTTCGTTCATTACTGATGGAGAGGAGGATGAAGGAATAATTAAATCTTCGTTGTTTTGATTTTGATTTATTGTTTCTGCTAAAAAATTTTTTAAATAAGAATTACAGTAGTTCCTCAAAATATGCCCCTCTAAGGGGTTCCGTAACTTTTGCGCCGAGAACATTTGCGCCGCGACTTTTGCGCCGCGACTTATGCGCCGAGTGACTTTTGCGCCGGGGAACCTTTGCGCCGCGACTTTTGCGCCGGGCGACGTTTGCGCAGCCACTATCATTAAAAATATATCAATGACTACAGCCGGACCTCACTTTAGTAGGATTGTCGGATAGTTGGAATTCTTCGGATATCCAGATCCGATATCCGAACTGAAAATTTCGGATATCCGGCATTTTTCGGATCCGGATTTTTTAAACAATGGCGGCGCAAATGTCGCGGCGCATAAGTCGCCCGGCGCTTAAGTCGCGGCGCAAGAGTCGAGGCGCAAAAGTCGCGGCGCATAAGTCGCGGCGCAAATGTTCTCGGCGCAAAAGTCGTGATACCCTCTAAGGTACCCCACCCCCCTCATCCAAAATAAGCCCCCTCTAGAGATCAATCGAAAAAGAAGCTCCGCTTATTTTAGAGGAAATGCGGTATTTGTATACCGCATACATTCTAATGAAAGCCCATCACTTATAGAAGACCATAACCTATTAGAGGCCGACTCAATGAGACCCGTTGAAAAATAAAGGTCCAAGGATTCCATTGAAAAGTTTATGGCAAATTATTAAAGTAATACTGCAAGTACAGTAAAATTATTAATGGTCCTTACCACTTAACGGCGCCGGACTAGCCCCAGGAGGCATAGAAACCTTTCTGATATATCTAGCCATCTGTTCAAGTTGGGAAACAACAGTCCCCACAAGTGTCTCATTTCCAGGTTCAAACTCATCAGAATCATCCTCTTCCTCATCATCTTCTTCTTCCTCTTCATCTTTATCATTCAAGAGGGCCGAATTAGACAAGAATGTTGTTGATTTTGTTATTTTCGGGAATTGGGGGTTTGTTGGGGAGGTTGGACTACACAAACTGTTACTGTGTTGACGACGAAATTTTAATTGTTTTTGTTGCTGATTTTGATGATTTTTTGAATTTTCTATATTATCAGAGGATGAATGGAAAAGGTGATGGTTGTTGCCGTGATCTACATGACTGAAAGAAAAGAAATTTCTTTGCTTCATTTTATAGTTATTTAGTATAAATTAATTAAATAAGGTTCTCGGATCCGGGTCTGAAAAAAGACCGGAGATCCGGGAATTTTCTGTTCGGATACATGATCCAGATATCAGCCTTTCCACTTAATAGAAAACTAATGCTAAAAGATACTAGCCACAGCGAACTTGCCAGGCTTACAAAAATATATGAAGAAGCAAAATGAAGAAAACAAATTCACACTCAACGATATAAGATTTTATCTATGCTAAAGCCAAATCGAATTCTTATATATTATGCAAAGGCTTTAAATTAGTTTTTGTTACTTTTTAAAAAATGGGATCCCAGACAAAAGAGGCTCTCATAAAACAATTAAGAAATACAGGGGAGCCGGCCAAACAGAATAGATCCTGATACCACGTAACGATTAAAGTAATTTAAAATATTAGTGTTATTTAATATACAGTCGTGGAAAAAAGTATGGAAGCGCTAGAAAATTTTTTCTTAATTCTTGATTTTTCATTCAAAAAATACGTTCTATATAGCAATCGAAAGCTCTATTCGTATCTCAGTTGACATGTTTCTGCATTTTTCATGAAAATGAAAATTGGCCGAGATAATCCGGATCTGCCGGATATACCAAATCCCACTTTTTCGGAAAAATTTTTCGGAACAAATTTAACAAACCCAAATGATAAAGCATATTTTTCTGAGTATTTTCCACAAAACCGCTTAGAAATATCTTTTTCCTGAGCAGAGATATGATTTTTTGAAAATGGCATTTTTCGCTTAAAAATTGAATTTTTTGCAAAAATAGACGAAAAATGCCATTTTCAAAAAATCATATCTCTGTTCCGGAAAAAGATATTTCTAAGCGGTTTTGTGGAAAATACTCAGAAAAATATGCTTTATCATTTGGGTTTGTTAAATTTGTTCCAAAAAATTTTTCCGAAAAAGTGGGATTTGGTATATCCGGTAGATCCGGATTATCTCGGCCAATTTTCATTTTCATGAAAAATGCAGAAACATGTCAACTGAGATACGAATAGAGCTTTCGATTGCTATATAGAACGTATTTTTTGAATGAAAAATCAAGAATTAAGAAAAAATTTTCTAGCGCTTCCATACTTTTTTCCACGACTGTAGATAAACACAGTTAATTCCCTGTTATACTTGCGGTTTTAATTATAGCAGAATAAGAAAACGAAAGATAAACAATATTAGCTTAGCAAACTTGCCAGGCTTACAAAAATATAGAAAAAGAAGAAATAAAAAACAAAAGATCAAAGGAAGTATTTAAGTTTTCATCCCTGTTAAAAATAGAACTTACATATTATGCAAAGGGTTTAAATCAGTTTTTGGTATTTTTTAAAAAAAAATGAGGTTGCATGTCAGAAAATTCGTATATGGCACCGGGGTTCAAACAATTCTTCACATATTTCATCCATTCAGGGTCGAAAAAAGGTCGACATTACGACTAACTCGATAAACTCGTGACCTAATAGCAAATAGCGTTAGGCTTCCATAAAACAATTACGAAATCGAAAAATGAGCTTTTTTTATTATACCAGACTGGTTATGATTTAGTAAACCAAACATTTTAAATTTTATGGGATAATTTTGAATGCTTATAATCTAACATAATAGTAACTTATGAAAACGAAAGCTCAATAATATTAGCCAAAGCAAAATAGCCAGGCTTTCAAAAATATAGAAACGAAGCAAAAAAAAGAAAAACAATTCAAAAATGAGTATAAACTTATTATCTATGTTAATGCTAAATCGAAATTTTATATACTATGCAAACGTTTAAGTGTTTATGTTCAAGTGTTTGTGCTATAAATATCTGGTGAAAACCAAAGATGGGTCAATTTTCAAAATTCGATATGGCTGCGGGTCGAAAAGTATCTGCATTATGGGTTCCTGAACCGATAGCATTAGACTTAAAGTATTAATGTTGTAAAGGGAAACAACAGATCTCGTAATACCGTATAACGATTAAAGCATATTAAATATTATTTCACTTACTTTATTTTTTCAGCAATTTCAAGCAATTCTTCACGTATTTCATCCATACTACTTTCAAGAGTCATATTTCCACTGTCTTGACTTCCACGGCCGAATTTTCGATTTGAGATATTTCCAGTAATTTCATCTGATATATTTGTAAGAGAATTTGAATTACTATTGTTATTTTGAGTGTTTCCATCTTGTAAAAGCAAAAGACGATCGACTATAACACCAAAAGATACCTTTAAAAGTGTCAATTTATGATTATATAGTTAGGCAATATAAATTTATGAAGATTGAAAGATTATAAAATTTTTGGCATAATTCGATAGCCTATTAAATTCTCAACAAAATTTGCCATAAACTTGGCATAGTTCCACGGTACTACCGGAAGTAAAGAAACTATGCTTTCAGATGCTACAGGTGTCGGTCGGATTTTGGAATTTGAAGTACTCCTTTCGACTTGAGATAAACTCAACCGGCCCGGTACTTTCAGGTTCTACCGGTGCCCGAAAACTCCACTTGGCGGACACTAATTAAAACTAGATTTTATGTTGATTGACAAAAAGTTTTGGAAGAAAAACCTCTACCTAGAGAATAAACTTCTTAGACTAAATGCAAGGTTTTGCCCTCAACTTTCCATCTAGCTAAGTTAAATTTTCTTCTTAAAATTATTTTGTAGCAAATTAAATTCTCTATCGAATGATATATAATACTCTATATAAATTCAAAATCCTCTCCTTAATAAATTAAATTATTAGTAAGCTACCATTTTTAAAACAGGCAGGTTAAACCTAGCGGCCAAAACAAGCATTTTCTTAGCTAAAGACAAATCTGTTGATTCCTTTAAAAATTAATTTTTTAAATTAATTTTAAACAAAAATAAGACTGACAGCAATAACTTCAGCACAAATATATCTTTCGCATTCCCTGCGCAAAGCAGGAAACTGTACATGCATGGAAGCATCCAAAGCTTCTAAGAAGTCTTCAAAACATTCTGCTTCGGGTACAATTATTTTGTTAAAGTAATAATGGGCAAAAATCTGAAATTAAATAGAGGCGTTGATTTTAATAATTTTTTAAAAAATTAATTTTCTGAGGGGGGGGGGTCATTTTAGGAATCCTAGGAGTATCTTAGAAAAATTATCATAGAGGGATATCGACTAATTACACCTCAATTTCATATGTTTTACTTTTAATTTGTTAGAGAACCCTCAGTTAAAACACCCCTAAATATAAGGAATGATTTTTAGCTCAAAAAGTGCTAGGTAGTCTTGGATACCGAACACAAATATGGCGACCAATACAAAAATCCCGACATTCTCAAAACTAGGACATCGAACTTTTCGACCCAGAAGTGTCAGAGTCCAGCTTTAATTAATTCCAGCTTTAATTAATTTTTATTTTATGTACATATTTTGAAAAAAATTATAGCTCCCTTACATTGCTAATTTTTTCTTTTAATTCTGCTGAATTTTTTAACATTGCCCATTCATTATTAGTAAAACGTTCAAAAATCACTTGACAAGCAAATAAATAAACATGACGATACAAAGCATATTTGTCTGCTTTAGGATCGAAAAATTCAACATCGGGGACTTTAAGTTGATTTGAACGAATTTCCTCTAATACTTGGGCACACAAAGCTTCCAATTTGTCGCTTAAAGGAGAGTCTATGCTTGGTAAATATTGTAGTGGTTGGAAGAGACTGACAGGCATTCTATAATTTAAATTAAAATCAGAATTTCTGTAATTCAATAATTCAGAATTTTGTGTTTCGTTAAATTATCATTTGGTATTTTTAACATGAATTGTGTATTTTATTCACAAAAATCAGAATTATGTATACAAAATCAGAATTTATTTTATAATCAGAAATTCGCCAAAACCAGAATTTTGACAAACTCAGAATTTTACTAAAATCAGAATTTATTTAAAATCAGAATTTAACGAAATCAGATTTTTACTAAAATCAGAATTTAATTATAATCAGAATTTATTTATAATCAGAAATTCACTAAATTTTAATTTCACTAAAATCAGAATTTCAACAAAATCAGAAATTTCGCCAAAATCATAATTTGTTAATTTATTATACAAAATTCTGGTTAATAAAATTTAAAGAAATTCTGATTCAATATTAAAACAGAATTTTTTGTATTTTTTAAATCGGAATTATTTTTAAATCAGAATTTTGCTCATTAAAATTTTATAAAATTTTCTCACTCCAATTTAATCCTCACAGAAATGTGTCTACCAACATGAGAATGTATAAATTCAATAAATTTTAATTGTTCGGCAGAAATTGAGTTAATATTATTGTTTTCAACACACATATTATTAATTGGTGACCAGCCACCTCCTTTAATATATTCTAATTCACATAAAGGCATTTCCTCAAAAATGAGCCCATTCGAGTTGAGTATTGATATTCTGAAAATTAGTTGAATAATAAGAACTAGAAAATAATTGAGGAAACAGAATCAGAATTATTTTTACATTTTTATTTTAGAAATCAGAAATTGTATTTTAGAAATCAGAATTCTGATAGAATTACAAATTATGTCAGAATTATAAATTCTGTATATAATCAGAATTTAGAAATCAGAATTTGTATTTTAGGAACCAGAATTCTATCAGAATAATAAATTCTGTCAGAAATATAATCAGAATTTGTAAATCAGAATTTGTATTTTAGAAACCAGAATTCTGTCAGAATAATCAGATTTTGTAAATCAAAATTTGTATTTTAGAAATCAGAATTCTGTCAAATTTAAATTTTATTCAATCAGAATTGTGAAAATAGAAACAGAACTATTTTAATATATATGTACATATTTAAAATCAGAATTTGAATTTTATACAAAAGAATATTTCACAAATCAGAATTTCTAATTTATTATTAAAAAGTGTCCCTTTATTTTATATAAAAATCAGAATCTCTATGTTTGAATCAGTTCAAAATCAGAATTAAAAAAAATTAAAACAACTTACTCTCCCCCATGTAGTCTAACATCCCTAGCTGGTCCATCTTTGTAATACAAAGTTATGTTTACTTTCTTCTTCCCAACAAAACTATCTTTCTTTTCATTATAATTTCCACTAGATAAAGTACTCTCGTTACTAATTCCCTCATTAAAAAGTATATTTTCTTCACAAATCCGCAAAAGCCAGGTGAATTGAACACCATTGTAGGCAGTGCAGAAAGGTGGACTGACGTTTAAGATTGCTGTTTCTCCGAGGGAGATTAGTCTGTAAAGAAAGATTTTTAAATAACTTAAAATAATAATCATAATTCTTAGTTTTATAATTTTTATTTCAATAAAAATCAGAATTTGTAAATATTTAAATCAGAATTTGTAATTATTACGGTAAGAATTTTTTTTATTGATCAGAATTTTAAATTTAAGGTAAGAATTTGTAATTTTAAAGTCAGAATTTGTAAATATTTAAAATCAGAATTTGTAATTTTAAAATCAATATCTTGTAAAAATTCAAATCAGAATTTTTAATTTTAAAATCAGAAATTGTAATTATTAAAATCAGATTTTGTAATTTTTTAAATCAAATTTGCAAATTTTAAAATCAGAATTTTAAATATTGAAAATCAGAATATAAATTTTTATATGCAGAATTTGTAAAATTTAAAATCAGAAATTGTAATTACTTAGGTCAGAATTTGTGAATTTTTAAAAGCAGGATTTGTGATTATTAAGGTCAGAATTTGTAAAATTATAAAATAGAATTTGTAATTACTAAGGTCAGAATTTGTAAATTTTAAAAATCAGAATTTGTACATTTTTAATATCAGAATTTGTAATTTTTAATCAGAATTTGTAGTTTTTATTTCAACTTTGTAAAATAATTATTACCTTTCCGTAATTTTAACAGGCCACGTGTATCTAAACGTAATTAATTCCTCATCATTACTAATTCTAGTATTTGTAGCAATTTCAGAATTTATTTCATCATTTAATTCAATTTTATTTTTATTTAATTTCCCAATTTCTTTATTTTTTTGTTGTTCATTTATTTGGGGTGTTTGCACTCTAGAAACATAAAATCGTTTCCCCACAAGATTTTTATTATTTTTAAATCGTTGTTCCACATCTGAAGAAGAATCAAAGCCACAGGGTGAAGAAGAAGATGAGGAAGAAGGAGAAAGATGTGAAGGGGAAATATTGGATAAATGGCGAAAATTATTTTGATCGGGGGGAGATAATGCTTCCATCATTTAGAAAAATATTAATTTTTTTAGAATTTCCTGAAAATTAAAATTTTTTAAATTAAATTAAAATTAACTCTAAAAAATATTTTAAATATTCCAAAAAATTTTTTATTAATCTTTTAAAAATAATAATTTATCAAGAATCATTTTAAAAAATATTTTAGTATGTGAAAAATTAATTTGAAATATCCCTAACATAATTTCCCAAGACTAAAAAATAGTTTGAAATTAGGAATGATGCACGAACACAATTTACGACGTCTGTGTCCTCCTTGATTGTCTTGAGGTTATTCCGACTCCGATCGCGATAGTCCATTCCCCTACATCCACATTCTCAGAAAAAGTCTCCAAAATGGAAACTTTCCAACCCAAAATTTAAAAATTTAGAGAAATAAAAATTTTAAATGAATTTTTATTTAAAACAGAAATTTTAATAAAAAATTTTTTTAATTTAAAAATAATTTAGTTAAATAAAAATAAAAATTAAAAGAATGTCATCTTTAATTAGTGTGACTAATACAAATTGAATAAAATAAATTAAATTAAAAAAGACGAAAAAATGTGATAGAAAAAATATTTTTAATTGTTTTTGAAGATTTTTGCTCAGTTGTGTTGCACTAACGAATTTGCAAAAATAAAAAAAAAATAAAATAAATTATAACAAAAAATCAAAGACCATAGTAACAAGGTGTGATATAATGTGTGAGGCTTAGAGGGAATATTAATAAAAATAAATATTATAAATTTAATAAAGATAAAATTCATTCTTTGAGTTTTTACGTGGGAAAGTTAATTTGCTACTTAGCAACTTTATTAGTTTTGTAATTGTAAAATTTTACAAATCAGAATATTATTTGAAAGGAAGGAAAAATGTATTCTGAAAAATAGAATTAATATAATTACATATATTTAAAATCAGAATTTTTATTCAGAATTGAGAAAATCAGAATATTTATTCTTATTTCAGAAAATCAAAATTATTATTCTGAATTTTATGAAATTTTGTTCTGATATTTTTCAGAATATTTATTCTTATTTTTAATATGTATATACATAAATTTAATTATGATTTATATCAGAATTTTAAATTATTATTACAAATCAGAAAAGAATTTTCAATAGAATATTTAGTATTTACAAATCAGAATTTTTATTCTGAATTATATAAAAAAAATTTTGTTCTGATATTTTTGAGAATATTTATTCAGATTTTTAATATATAAATTTAATTCTGATATATCAGAATTTTATACAATTATTACGAATCAGAATTTTTTAAAATAATTAGAATTTTATTTTTAAAAAATCAGAATTTGTGTTTTTAAACAATATATATTTAAATTATTAAATAGGAAAAATAAAAATTTAAAAATATTCTAATAAAAACCTGAATTTAAATAAAAAAATATAAATTTTAAAATTTTTATAGAAACCAAAATTTAAAAAATGGCAAGTTTATATATAAAAATTTGAACAATAATTGACCCTGTTACGTTTAGCGATTATGAATTTATATGACCAGAAAATTTAAATAAAATATTCAGAGTATAAATATGTAAAGTAAAAAGAATATTTAAATAAATAAATATTTATTTTGGAGCAGAAAATACACGTGAAAATAAAAGAAGAATGAAAAATTTTATCTTTTATTTTAAAAGAAAATACAAAACAAACAAACAATTATAGTATGAGTAATAATTAAATACAAGTTGAATAAAAGGAAGAGGAAAAGAAAAGAAACTTTTTTACAATAAAAACAAAAATGCGCCTGGATTAGTAATAGCAAATAATTAATAACAAGTTTGTATTTTGATAAAATTTATAAATTTTTGTGTTTTCCGGAAAGAACTTTGATGTATTTTATTTTAAAATCAGAAATGTATTTTATCTATATTTGTTATAAATCAGAACCAGAATTTTTTTATAATTGAGATCAGAACTGTATTTTACCTATATTTGTTATAATTCAGAATCAGAATTTTTATAGTACGAATTATTTAAAAATCAGAATGTTCAAATAAAGTTGTATTTTCTGATCAGAATATGTATTTTTCAGAAAACAGAATTGTATTTTAGAGGTATAATTTATAATTCTGCTTTTAATAAATTAATTCTGATTTTCAAAATAAAATTAATTCTGATTTTTGTATTTTACAAAATAGAATCAGAATTATTTTGTATTTTAAAAAATCAGAATTAATTTATTGGTATTCTGATTTTGATTAGATAATCAGAATTTATTCGTAAATCTTGAAATACAACTTCAAAATCAGAATTAATTAAAAAGAAGGAATGTCTTTTTGTATAATCAGAATACAAGAATTATTTAAAGGGATAAGGTTCTCTACTATTTTAGACAGACTTTTATGAACATTTGTACATATTTTTAAATTAATAATTTAAAAAAATAAAAATAAAATGACTGTTCAGAACATTTTTACATCATCTTTATTTAATAAAATTTATTTTTAATTTATTTTTAAAAAATTTCGAAAATGACTGAGAAAATATTTAAAAATCTAAAACTATTTATAGACTGATTTAACTGTAATAATATTAAAAAAAATGTTAAAATGCGGAAGAAAAAAAAGAAAAAGAATTTACTAGAATGGGAAGAAGCTTTTATTTATTATAGGAAAGGATAGATTAATACAGACAGATTATTTTAATTAAAATAAATTCTAGATAAATATTTACAGTTAAAAATGGAAAATGATAAAAAATAAAGAGAAATTGTGATTAAAATAGGAAATTCTGAAATTTAAAAATTAAAAGAAAAATTAAAATAAGGAAATTTAATTTAAATAAATAAAGAGGTATTTTTGTGTTTCTATTTTAGAAATTAGAATTTGATTTTTTCTGTATTTAGTTTTTTGTATAATCAGAATTTTTCTTTTTATAATTCTGGGAGTAGAATTATGTTTATTCTTTAATATTCTGAAATTTTTTTAATAATTATACAAATCAGAATTTGTGTTTTTGTAATTATTTGGTGTTATTATTATCAGAATTATTATCAGAATAATTAATAATTTTACAAATCAGAATTTGTGTTTTTTAATTATTTAGTCTTATGTATAATCAGAATTTTTCTTTTTGTAATTCTGAGAGCAGAATTACAATTTGTATTCTTTAACGAATAATTTTATTATTATCAGAATAATTTATAATTTTACAAAACAGAATTATTTGAAAAAATCAAAATTAATTTAGAGGTGACGGTACTTCACTAAGGATTTATACGTTCTTTTACAATAAAAATGTGAAATCAGAATTTTGAACTTCCCTTATCAAATTTTGTGTATTTTTAAAATCAGAATTTAACTAATACCAGTATGAGTAATAATTATATTTTTATAATCTCTTGTTTACGAAAATCATTGAATAATTCTAAAAGGGTAAAATATTTTTTTCAAAAGAATTTATTGTGTACTTTTTTGTGAATTTTTTCAATAAAACATTTAAATTAAAATTTTTGTTTTTGTGTTTTTTTAAACAAAAAAAAATTTCTGAATATATAAAAATAGTAATACAAGACAGAATAAATAAAATAAAAAATAAAAAAAATAAAACAACAATATTCACTAAAAAGTGAATATATTCACTTCCCGTAATTTTAAGGGAATGAAAAGTGCAACCGTTTGGGAAAAACAAAAAAATAAACAAAGGAAGGAAAGAGTCAGTGTGTCGCAAATGCGGACATGGTTAATGCGGACAAGCAAAACTATGTTTTAAAAGAAGCTTAAAAATTATTTTAAATTATTTTTGATAGGAAATTAAATTTGCTACAAAACAAATTTTTGCTTCTACATACAACATATTATAGGTACTAGGAAGACTCTTGGTCGAGTCTTGACTCAAGACTTTCTTGTGGTAAAGTCTCGGTTTTGGGATAAAGTCTTGGTCCTGAATCTTGAAAATTTTCTGTCCCGGACGTCTCTAATAGGTACATCTACATATAATTAAAAGAAAAATTGAAATAAGGAAATATTTTGTGCTTAATTTAAAAAATTCATAATTAATCCACAAAATAACTTAATTGGGGATAAAGCTAGAGTCGAATCAGACACTCATTCTTGAGTTATACTGAAATTTCTCTTGTCGTTATTTTGTCTAAAAGTCCTTATAAACTATTATAATTATCTTTTCAAAAAGGAAAACTAAAATATTTTTATAAAGTTAGATAATTTAACCGTCTTTTATAAGTCTAGGTTGAACTGATTTTACTATAATAAAATTATATAAATTTTTATGTAAAATTAATACAAAATTTTGATTTTCAAGTACCAAAAATTTTTTTAATTTAAATAAGAATTTAAAAAATATTTTTTTTCCACAATGCACCCGGTTATTAGCTATTTTCTAAATTTGAGATCAAATTTTGCGAACGAATATAAACAAAGTTGAAGCTAAATGTCTGCAACATGTCCGCAATTATTCTGTTTATATTTTTAAATATTTTTATTTATATAAAAGAATTTTTATTTAAAAAAAGGGAGAGAGTGAAGTGTAAATAGTGGAATGCATAAATAAATAAATGAAAGCAAATAAACAATATTATTTTTTATTTTTATAAAATTGGCTAATAGTACATTATTATAATTACAAAAATAAAATATGTTGAATCTCTGTTTTGTGGATACTGTATTTCCTATATTAAAGACACCTCTGAATTAGAGCCCCATATTTAATAAAGCTAGTTTTGGAGGATAATTGAAATAATAGAGTCCCCTCGAAGCTTTATTATGGCGCGTTCACATAAAAAGCGTCTTGCGTTTTGCGGCAAAAAATAGCATTCAAAAGGAGAGACAAAATTGTGTTTCTTCATTCCAAATCAAAACGCAAAAAGCTTTTTAGGTGAACACGCATAATAGAAAAAAATGATAATAATTTTTATAGTGTTAATCTTTTATAGAGTGAGTATTTAAACACAAAAATAAAAAGTCGAAAATTGGAACTAATGTTTGATCTAGGAAATTGAAAGTAAAAGCCAATCGGAAGTGCCCTACAGACTGAAATAATTAGTGCTTTTACCCTCTCTTTTTAATAGATCTTAAACCCCGTCATATAAGCGTTTTAAACATCTCGAAAAATTTAGGTATCGATGATCTACTAGATGTTTTTCGAGACATTGTTCTCTAATTTTTATCCGACTAACCCAGGTTTCTAATTTTAAAAGCTAGCTAGATGAATCTCCTTTAATCCAAAAATAAAATTTTATTTTTAAAAATTTGTCATTCATTCCAAAAAAATAATAAATTTAACCAAAATTTGTTTCTTTATTGTTTATTTGCAAATTTATTTATTTATTCCCCTTCTAAAAATATTTCTGGAACAATAAATAAAATAAAAATAAAAATTCTTTGGTCTTAATTTAAGAACAACTCTCTTCTATAAATAGAAAAGGGAATAATAATAAGCTTGTAAATTTCTGGAGGAAAAAATGCCAAGTAAAAATAAAAGAAAAAGAAAGCTGATAATGGACTGAGAGTTTCTAAAATTAGCTAAAGAAAATATATATTCGGAATAAAATAATTTCTTTAAAAAATAAGAAAATGGGGGAAAATTTTAAGTGTTTTATTAAGGGGTAGCTTCATTGCAAGCTTCATAGTTTGGAAAGGATTGGAAGTGATAAAAATACATAGATTAATAAATTTATGTGAAGAATAAATTAACAATACCCCTCTATGTGTAGACAACAGGGATCCTGCCGACAAAAAACCAAAATTCCAAATTTAGGGAAATCAGGATAAAAAGAAGGAGGGAATTCCCGAGTTTCGGGAATCGGGAGCTATTTTTTGCGCCGCAGGCGAAAATTTTGAGAATTTTGGAGGTCCTTAAGCCAGATTTCTTCCATTTTTTGCGCCGCAGGCGAAAATTTTGAGAATTTTGGAGGCTGTAAGCCAGAAAATTCACTTTTTTGCCCAATCCCTTCCCCAATTTCATTTTCAATCAAAAAAAAGTATATACTTTCAAAAAAGTATAAATTCAATTTCGTAAGTATGGAGGTCGATTTAAAAGTAGAATACTTTTAAAAAAGTAGGAATCGGAGCCCTGGTTAAATATAATACAAAATAATTTTAAAATAATAATTTTATGAGAATAAATAAGCAAAATAAATAGGAAAATAGGAGAAAGTGCTTCTTTATGGACGCAAGAGAGATTTTGCGTCATAACATCGAAAAGGATAAACCGATAAAAAAATATTTTCATACATTCTACAGAGAATTAAATTTGCATAAGGATAAACCAAAAATAAAAATTTATTAAAAATTAAAAAAAAAATTCTGTTATAAAAACACACAAAAATCGTACATTTTACCCCGAGAATAGTTTTTTGATCTTATTTTTTAAACTTATTGACAAAAAAATTTTCTATTTTATAAAAACTGTAGCAAATTTAATTCCCTATCGAATAAAAAAGAATAAAATTTAAAAAGTTAATCCCTCATAAATTTGTACGTTCGGGAACTAAGCGTTCCTCTCACTGAAACAATTTTTAACAATATAATAAAAAAATTAAAAATAAATTTTAGGGAATAATTTTCAAATAAATTTAGAACGGAAGGAAACTAAAACACACACAAAAGCATCAAAAAAAAGTAAAAATTGACTTTTTTGGTTTTTGGCATTTTCCGATAAATTCAATCTCTTGGGGCTCATTTATAAGCTTATGGATTTAATATAGTTTTCCTTTTTTTTATTTTTTGGTTTCCTTTTTGGACAAGGCATTCTTTCAATTATTTCAAAGCATTCGCTCAATCTTTGCTCTATAAATGAAGCAAAAATGATGAAAAAATGAAAAAAAAGAAAAATTTGAGGGAAGGCGGAAGCTTAAGTGAATGACAAGCTATTTTCAACTATGTGAAGTTTTTAATAGAAATTTTGAAAAAAAAAATAAACTTTTTTGTTAAAAAATAAATTTTTTAAATAGAAAACATAAAATAAAGACAAATAAGAAAAAATAAAATTTTTATTTATTTAAAAATTTAAAAAAATTAAAAAATAGAAGGTAACACAACCAGTACACTCTGTAACATAATGATAGCGCCACCTAGTTGTTATCAATATCCTACCAAATATTAAATGGATCTGTTTCAAATTTTGAAAGAATATAGATAAGGATATTATGTAGCAATAATAAAAAGAAAGCAATTTTTAAAAAATTTTTATAATAATAAATTTTATTATAGAGTGTAACACAAAGATAGCGCCACTTGTATTTTCGACCTTGGGTTTCTGAGCCTTATAACTTTCTTAATCCTTAATAAATTATTTATTTTTAAAATATTTTTGGATAGAGGAGAGAATCTGGTACAAAAATAAATTTAAAAAAATATTTAAAGTTTGGAAAGAAAGAAAGTTTGAGGGAAGAAATGATTCTTAGTTTGAATGGAGAGAGCGTTATAATGTCTCGTTTTTTGACCAAAAAATTTTTTTCAAAATCAACTCAAAAATTTAATTTTAAGATTTATCTTATAGCAAATTTAATTCTCTATCGAATGATACCAAATTTGATAAATAAAATTTATTTGCTCAAAAGTTATGAAACTTTGCGTAGAATGAGTCGCGGGGAACACTCTATTCTACCTTTAAAAGCGTAAAACTAAAAAAAAGAAAGAAATTTTTCCCCACATATTTAATGGCCAAAAAAATAAAAAAGCTTCACTATTTACGTGTTCCACGCAATGTTAGATGAAGCAAAAGAAAATTAGAGGGGTAAAATAAAGGAAAAACAAACAAAAATGGCTAGTAACAAGCAATAAATAAATGTCTATTGAAAGAACTAAAGAAAATAAAGAAGAAATAAAAATGGCAGAAACACAAAAAAAAGTTTTTTTATTTTATGTGAATAATTTTTAGGCTTTAAAAAACTAATGTTCTTAGAATATATAAAAGGTCGTTAAGCTGAACAATGAGAAATAAATAAAATAAATGCTTTGAGGAAATAAATTTTATTTTTTATTGCGTTCAAAAAACGAAAATAAATTCTTTAGAAATTAAAATTGTCTTTTAAAAATATTTTAAATTTATTTTTTTTTTATTGTGAGAGACCCTAAAATATAAATAGTACAAAAAATAAAATCATAATTTAAAAAACACCTAAGGGAAGGGGCAATTGCCTTAATAGAACCTACAACTTACCAATATCAAGGATCTAGCCGAGATAAAAATTAAATTCCCAATTTTGGGAATCGTGATTCTTGAACAGACGATGGTTGAAATTCTCCCAATTTCATGGATCAGTTTGACTATAACCCTGATATATGTACATTTAAGTCCATATTCGGATAATAATAAAACATGATAATACAGAAAAGATGATGATTATCTTAGTATAAGGACACATAGGGAGACATTATATTCTAACAATAATAGTTTAATAAAGAATTTAAATAGCTATCGAATGATACCAAAATTATCGAAATGTAATAATCCAATCAAAAGTTACAGGTGATAGCGCCTAACCGTTTCTGCGCCTAACTGTCCCTATAATTTAATGAACGGAAGATTAAAAAAATAAAACAATGAAAATTTAAAAAAAAATGAAATATTTTCTCTACAAAAATTTAAAAAAAGAAAATTTTAACAATCAATCACTTTCATTTTATTTTAAGTATTTTAATGTTTCAAATATTTAACTGACGTTCCCTCTCAATTTATATTTTAAGTTGACATCCCCTCAAATATTTAATTGCTCAAAAAAATTTTTTTATGATTGATTGGCTTCAATTTTAAATTTTTTAACTTTTTTTAGCAAGAATGTGTCAATTATTTTCCGGTTTTTGTTTCCGGTAAATTAATCCGGAAAAGATTTTTTTAATTTTTTGGCAGGAGGAGAAAGCAAAATTTTGTGAGTAGAGGGGGTAGACCACAACCTATTTAAATAACTGTAACTAGTGAATGAGTGGACCGATTTTTATGATTTTGATGTCATTCAATAGAGAATTAAATTTGCTACAAGATAACTTAGAATAATAATTTTAACTGGCAAACAAATAAAGAAAATAAAAATGAAATATTGAGGAGGTACACCCCTGTGTGTGGACACACGTCAGTTTATACTCAATAACTTTGGAGAAAATGAAAGGATAAAAAATCTTTTGTAATCTTTCGATATAGAATTAAATTTGCTATAAAACAAAATCAGAAATAAAATTTTAGATTAGTAACAGAAAAAGTTAAGGTCAAAAATACTAACATTTTTGAGTAAAATGTCTCTTTACTCTGTAACCTGAGAATGGATGAATATTTAAAAAATAAATTGTTAATTTTGAATAGTAAATTTGATTTGGTATTAAAACAATAAAAAATAAAATTTAAAAATAAAATTGATAAAGGATTAAAATTGAAAATTTGATTGCTTATAATCGGCCAAATGTGACCTTTTAGAGTTTTTCCCATTATAACTTTTCTCCTCTTAAACTTTAAATTTTAATTTTTAGAGGTTTTCTAGCAAATTTAATTCTCTATCGAATGATCAAAAAATGATCAAAAAAAGTTCATCCATTCCCGAAATATAACCTCGAGAGTAACCCGATCTTACAGATAGGCGTAAAAGTGAAAATTCAAAATCGATTTGTCCCCGAAAAGATTTTTTGTGTAAAAAATAAAAAAATTATTATCTAGCAAGTATTGTAAACACTAGACAAGTGTTATAAAAAATGTGTAGGTGTTTTGAGTTTTATTAGAAAAAAAATAACAAACAACAGTGGATTAGTAAGGGAAGGAAGGAGAAGAAGAAAAGAAGCACGCGTGCACTAAAGTATTTTTTTATTGTTTAATATTTACTGCCAAAACAAATAAAAAGATTTTTTTGTTTTCGTTTTTAGGTGCGCAAGAGTGTCTAAAATAAATATTTTATATACAGTGCCGGAAAAAAAGATAGGACCAGAGGCTGTTAATTTAGTTTTTTTCGCTGGTGGCCGAACGTTTCGTCACTAAACTTTTCGTCACCGAACCTTTCGTCAAAACCTTTCGTCACTGAACCTTCCGTCACCAAACCTTTCGTCACTGAACCTTTCGTCACTATTCACCATAAAAAAGAGAATGCACATCTGGATGGACAAATTTAACAAAATAGATTTATGGAAATTAAGTTGAATAAAAGAAAGTCATGAATGAAGATGAAATATAATAAACAAAATTAATAACTTTTTGATAAAAACAAATAATAATAAGGATGTTAAGTAGGGTTGCTCACTACCGGTTATTAACCAGTACCCCCGGTTTTCGGTTATCGCCGGTTTTCGACCCCCGGTTTTCGGTTCCGGTTTTTGATTTACCCCCGGTTTTTGGTTAACCGGGACCGGTTTTTGGACAAATTTTCATCCAGAATATCCCATTAAGACGTTGTCACATTCTAACGCTTTTAAATAGATGTTTTATACTCTAGGAGCATAATAATTTACAAATTTCAACAATTCGAGGAATTAAATAGTATATGGCTAGATAGAGTTGGCTGATTTAGAATATTAGGATAATATAGGGATTAGAGGATATCGACGATCGGTGGATTAGGAAGATAAGAAGTTTCAAGGGCGTTGGGTGATTAATAGTGATCCGATGAACATCTTAAATACGATGTTCATTCTCCATGTATCCTTCTAATAACCTCGATTTCAATTTTCAGCGCCGCAGGCGAAAATTTTGGAAATTTAGGAAGGCCAAGAGGCTAGATTTCTTTTATTTTTCAGCGGCTTTTAAACTAAAAGGGAATGCGATGGCCGAAGGCCCGAGCTGACACCCACTAAAAAGGGAGGGCGATGGCCGAAGGCCCGAGCTGACTTTCTAGCAGCGCGCGAAGCGCGCCCCAAAGCCGATAGGCTTTGGGGGAAGAATTTTGCAAGTTGACCTTCCGAGATTCTCACAAGATTGTTAGAATATCCTTTCTTAGCCCCTTAATCCGTCATAACCTCGATATCCCTACAAAACACTCATATGAATTAAGAAAACATTCGGCAGATTAAGGCCGTTGCCGGTGCATGACTATAATAATGCACCGGCAAACGGTATCCGAGGAAAGGGACTTAAGCGGAAGTCGGTTTATGTCATTCAAGATCAAAATTTGCAACAAATATTTGCTGAATTTGCTCAGCGAGCTAATGACCCAATTGGGTACCTACGTACTGTCTCCTATCATTTAGCAACACAGTAAATATAACTAAATTACCGATTATGATCAATTTGTCACTTTTGACAACTTCTTATTTGATTTTTAAAAATAAAGTCTTGGTGACGAAAGGTTCAGTGACGAAAGGTTTGGTGACGGAAGGTTCAGTGACGAAAGGTTTTGACGAAAGGTTCGGTGACGAAAAGTTCAGTGACGAAACGTTAGGGAACCTTTTTCGCTTATCTCTTTTTTAATGGCATTTAGGAAAAAAGTTTCAACACAAAAATTTTAGGCCATTATGTGCTCTTTAAAATGAGTATAAATATCAGTATACTTTATCGACAGAATTTTATCAAAAAAATTTTAAACAATACTACTCAATTTTTGGGGTGGAAAAAAAGATAGGACCAGACTAGAAATATCGACTTTTGTTCGGTTAAAAATTCTATAAAAATTTTTATGAACATTTACATCAATACTAAGTAGAAAATTAAAAAGAACGAAGCCCGTAACTCATTTTTTCATCGAGATCTCAAATCTCGAAAATCAACGGAAAATTGGTGTACAGTACTTTAAAATATATTTTAACCCCCTAGAGCTTAAATTAAAAATTTTATTTTATGCCTATCTGAAAGCCCATAAAATTTACTACATAATAGTCTGGAAATTAATTTTTCTAAAAAAATATCCGTTTAACTCTAGTCCACTTTATATTAAAAATGCTCAAAATCTCCCAAAATACCCCAGAAATGATAACTTTTTCAATTTCTCGGTCATTATCTCCATGAATTTTTTAACAGAAAATTTAAACATGAAATAATATCGTAGCAAATTTTATGGGCTTTCAGATAGGCATAAAATAAAATTTTTAATTTAAGCTCTAGGGTGTTAAAATATTTTTTAAAGTACTGTACCCCTGTTTTCCGTTGATTTTCGAGATTTGAGATCTCGATGAAGAAATAAGTTACGGACTTCGTTCTTTTTAATTTTCAACTCAGCATCGATGGAAATGTTCACAAAAAATTTTTATAGAATTTTTGACCGAACAAAAGTCGATATTTTTAATTTTAATTATCCTGGTCCTATCTTTTTTTCCACCTCAAAAATGGGGTTTATTTTTTAAATATTTTTAGCAAAAATGTAAACTGTAAATTTTTCTAAAAATAATTTGGAAAATAATACAGTCACGGACAAAAGTTTGGACGCAAACATTTTTCCAACTTTTTTTTGAAATATTTTCATTAAAATCAATAATTAAAAAAACAAATTTATTGTAAAATAATGCTTCGTTTATGAACTTTAATATGCATAAACAAAATACTTAAAAACTTTATAAAAAAATTTTTTCTGCTATTTAACCAAAAAAGGGGGTGGACAAAAGTTTGGACGCAAATTTTTAGAAAAAAATATCTTACAGTATAATGGTCCAAAAAATCTACAAAAATTTCTGTGGACATTTCCAATGATATAGAATAGAAAAACAAAAAGAACGAAGTCCTTAACTTCTTCCATCATCGAGATCTCGAATGTCAAAAATCAACGGAAAATTGGGGTACAGTACTTTGAAAAATATTTTTACCCCCTAGAGCTTTTATAAAAATTTTTCTTTTGGGCCCATTAAAAAGCCCATAAAATTTGCTACAAAATAATACAAGTTTTTATTTTTCCAATAAAAACTCATGGAGACAGAGTCGAGGCAATTTTCTAAGTTATCATTATTGGGGTATTTTAGGGGTTTTTTGACCATTTTTATGTAAAAGTGTCTGCAGTTCGAAGAACCATTTTTTAGAATAAATGAGACCAGGACTATTTTGTAGGAAATTTTATGAGCTCTTTAATGGGCCCAAAAGAAAATTTTTTATTTAAGCTCTAGGGGGTTAAAATATTTTTTAAAGTACTGTACCCCCATTTTCCGTTGATTTTTGAGGTTCGAGATCTCGATGAAAAAAAAAGTTTCTGACTTCATTCTTTTTTCTTTTCTACTCAATATCAATGGAGATGTCCACAGAAATTTTTGTAGATTTTTTGAAACATTATACTGTAAGATATTTTTTATTAAAAATTTGCGTCCAAACTTTTGTCCACCCCCTTTTTGGGTTAAATGACAAAAAAATTTTTTTTATAAAGTTTACCAGTATTTTGTTCATGTATATTAAAGTTCATAATAGGAGCATTATTTTACAAAAAATTTGTTTTTTTAATTATTGATTTTAATAGAAATATTCGGAAAAAAAGTTTGAAAATCGTTTGCGTCCAAACTTTTGTCCGTGACTGTATTTTTATTTTTTAAAATAATAAAATGAACGTGTCATGGTACAATTCTTTAAAATATTAATTTTTCTAAATTTTTATTTATGAATATAATTGTTGGTTTAATAAAATTAAAAAAAAACATTTTATTAAATAAGGGGGGTCGGTTTAGTGGAAATGCATATACCTTATTTACTCGATTAATTCCCCACCCTCAAATTATTCCCCACCATCTATTAATTTCCTATACCAGGGATGAGTTCAAAAAATAATTCCCTATCCTGAATACCCTACTACACATTCAAATTTCAAAACTCGAATAATTCCCCATCATCTATTAATTATAATATAAAATATATATAACTCCCCGGTGGAATTAATCGAGTAAATACAGTAATGGTTTAGAGGGATATCGGTGGATTAATCAACAGGTCCCTTGATGAAATCCCACTATATACTAATATCTCTCCGCTTTAGCTCCATAAATGCCTCCAAGTCTCTCCCGTTTCAGTTGGTAATTTTAGAAGAACAAAAAGCCTGATTTTTTCCGTTTTTTGCGCTGAGCCGAATACTCTGAGAATTTTGGACAATGGCTGCCTCTCTCAATATTTTTCACTTTATAATGTCTCTTTTTAAATTTTGTTTTTTTGCGCCACAGGCGAAAATTCTGAGAATTTTGGAGGTCCTTAAGCCAGATTTCTCCCAATTCTTTTTAAATTTGGAGCCCAGGAAGCTAGATTTCTTTCCTATTTCAGCGCCGCAGGCAAAAATTTTGAGAATTTCAAAGTCCGCAGGCCAAAAAAATTCACTTTTTTTGCCCAAAGTCTTCCCCAATTTCATTTTCGATCCAAAATGTTGATTTAAAAGTAGATACTTTCAAAAAAGTAAATTCAATTTCGTAAGTATGGAGGTCGATTTTAAAATAGAATACTTTTAAAAACGTATGAATGATAGCCCTGATTTAAATCAACATAGTTGTGAGTATAGAGGATTTAGCTTCACTTAGTTCGGCCAGATTAATCGAATGGTATATACATCGATTGTCGATCTCGGGGGCCCATAAAAGTACAGATTTTCCAATAAAGATTTTCCAATAAAGTTTTTTCATTTATAGAATTTCCATTTACTAATTTTTAAAATTCGGCTCAACAACCTTCATTCTTTCTTTAGTGATTCCATCCTCATCCAAGTAAAATTCATAACTTCCATCAATAAACAAAGGATTAATTGCGGCAACAAATTCTGTTTCGGGATGTCCATAAAACAAATTTCCGATATAGCCCATTAGCTCATCTTCAATATCATCCACCTCTGTTTGTGATATATCGATTGCTGTTAGAAACAATCTCTTTTAATTATTTCTAGCCCTTCTAAATTTATCCAAAAAAGGAATATTTCTTTATTAATATTTATTCAATTTAATAATAATTTTACAATTAGGCTTAAGGGGATTATTGGGGAATTTAAAAGTGAATTGAAGCTGAAGCTAAAATAACAGAAATAGCTGAGTTTAAATAAACAGGGAAATGACAAAAATGATTAAGAATGTTAAATAAAAATAAAGTTTAAGAAATTGCATGAATAAGAAAATATATTTGAAAAGGACATTTTTGGATTTAAAAATAAAGAATTAATCATATAAAATAAATCACACATATTTTGATTGTAATTTAACATTATTTCTAACACTCCGCGCAACAAAAGTATTTAGGATACAAGAAAAGATAAAGCGAGTTAGTAAGGGTAGAATACAATAAAACATTAAGATGAGTAAAAAGATTGAAATTATTAAAAGGAAAAGGTAGCGCGGGAAAATGAGTAATTTTAAAAGGTTGGTAATATCCATATTTGGTAGCTTCAAGTGCCAATGTGGTGCGGTTTTGTTTCCATATTCTTCGTTCCAAATTACATCATTCAGTGCTGCTTCAGGATAGGCAAGTTTGCCTTGTAGTTGAAATGTTGTTGGTGAACTGCCACAAAAAACTTCACACGTCTCGTCAATATCCGACGTGGAGAAATGTATACTCAAAATCTTTCTTTCAACAGTCGGTCGGCACGGTATTGCCATTTTTGCCGACGGGCAAATTATGTTTGCAAGAGTCGATCCAAAGTCTGTTTTACATTCTAAGTCCACATGAGCTCCTTTTTTACAGTCAAAACATCCTGTCAAATTTGCTCGGACTATACAAGTATTCATGCTTATTTCAGTCTTTAAAATCATTCCTTCAATTTTTATCTGAACTTCTGCTGAGGTTAAATCGGGAAAAGCTGTTATTTCTCCATGATCGACTTTTACTAATATTCCGTTATGATTGAAAGGGAGATTATTCGATTCTTGAAAAATTTGTTCATCTTTAATAATTTCTGTACAAAGACAATTTACATTATCGTCAGCTGGTCGACATGAACAGGTAAGTGGATCTACAGTGCAATTGAAATTGCCTGCTTGGTATTTATTTGCGCATTTAAATTTTTGCAATTGCGTTTCAATTTCATAATCTAGCATGGCTGCCTTTTTTCCATCAAATACAAAATTTTTATTTAAAACAGGCAGAATGGGAGTGGTTATGCTTTTTAACGTTATTTCTATTTTATTTTTACTTTGTTTAGATGCCATTCCTGGGATTAGATTAAAGGCGCTTTCCCATTTTCCTTCGTTTGTATCAATAGTTAAATTCATACTTAGTCCTAGCTCCCATTTAGGACATTCAAAAATTTCCAAAATTCTTTCATCAACAGGAGTGGCATAAAATCTATAGAAAGTACAAGCCGGGGTTGTATAGAAACATCCGGAGAACCAACCGCCGCTACTTTCTACACATTGTGTTATTCCTGGGTAATCATTCGTGGCATTAAATTCAATTAATTTTTCATGAGATTTTATTTCGCTGCATTTTAAATCATAGCAGCTTCCTGTTTCAGCGCATCTCTTTGAAGATTCAACTTGCATGTGGAAAAATCGGGAAAAATATTTTAAACTTTTAGTACAAAAAGCCTTTGTTTTATGAATTTCCATTGTTAAAGTCCCTAATATTTTTTCGGTATGATCGTTTAAAGAAACTTGGATTTGTTGCTCTTCGGGATTAAATGTCAAAACAATTATTTTTTCAAACGAGCAGCTTCTTTCACCGAGTTTATTCACAACACAACTTTCTTCAGTTGCTTGTAAACTAGTGAGGCAAAAACATTTAGAAAGATTGATTAAAAACAATAAAGCAACAATCACTTTCATCGGACGTTTTTTCTTTGTTATTAGTGGTTTAGTTGGTTTTGGCTTTGATTCCTTTTTAATTTCCTCTTCTCTTTTACTTTTATTTGCGATGAATCGAATAAATTTTATTTTATGTTTTATTACCCAGAATGTCACTTTCAAAATCAAAATTATTGTTTTAATAGCAATGTATATTAAGTTAGAACAAAAGTAAACTAAAATCCCAAACAATATCATGGAAACTTCGGGGAAACAATGCGGGTTCATTAAACGTTCAAAACAAAAGATACAATTCATTATTTCACAAATATTTAATTTTTCACACTCAATTTTCATTCTCTTTATTAATTCACCATTTTTATAAAATTGAACGTCAGTTTTGTATTTTTCCAAAACAATTTCATGGCTTAAAGTTATGTTTTCTATTTTTTCGGGGAGGGCTCTATAAAAACATTTCTTTTCGTTACAAATCTCTATTCCACCTATCATTTCATTTGTTTTTACTTGTATTCCTTCTTTTGTGCATTTTAATTCACACCCTTTACAAAGTGACGTTTCTTTTTTCGGAAAGCCATAAACTTTTATTTTCACTCTTCCCCATGCTTGTATCGCTACTCTTCCCTCCGGAGTGACAAAAAATGCTTTTTCAATTCTGGGGTAAAAACAAAATCTAGTTCCCTTTTCGGAACAATGGTATTTACTACAATATCTTGGGGAACCCGTAATTTCCTTTCCTTTTCCAATACAAACAAATTCTTTTATTGCATCTTCCAATTCTATTTTTAATTCATTTACCAAATATTTTTCTCCCGAAATCAATTCAATTTGGTTAAATTCCTTCATTTCGAATGTTTTTGCGCATGATTTATCTTCCTCAGTAGAACAAATTTTTGGCTTATTATTTTCCAATATTTCTTTTATTTTTTCATTTTTATCTTCCGTTTGGCCTTTAAAGAAAATACATTGTTCTGCCCAATCGGGACACGTGCATTTTTCATCACAGAGGTACTTGATATTTTTTGTTGGCCAACGTATGTGTTTATTCTTATCGTTGCAGCCTATTTCTTTCCAACAAAGTGACTTGTCTTTTCTTTCAAAAATTACCAAACCGTTCGATTTACACTCTTCTAAATGTTTCAAAACTAAATTTTCATTTTGTGCGCAGCGAATACTTTGAACTTGAGCTACTTGACCGAAAGTCAATAAAAAAATTATTAACATTGTGAGAAGCGTTACCGAACTTTTTGCTACAACTTTTAACACGCTAGTTTGTTTTGATTTTTGATTAGACCCTTTATCCTCCTTTTCTTTTTTAGGGGTACAAAATTCGGTTCTAATTCTTATTAAATCATTTTTATGTCTTTCTATCTCATTACTCAATTCCTCTTTAGATTTTTCTTTCTCTGTCAATTCTTTTAAACAATTTTTAATTTCTATTATTTCTCTTTCTTGTTTTTTCAATTCTTTACCTATAGCTTCTTTTTCAATTTTTTCCTTTGACAAATCATTTTCAACGCTATTTAATTTTTCCTCTAGCGTTAAATATTTCCCTTCTAGGTTTTTATATGACTCTTGCCAATCCGTCTCTACTTTCGATGAAGAAGGGGGTTCCTTTTGATTTAAATTTTGATTATTTTGGTTTACAAATTCGTTTCTTCTATACCAACATTTTTGTGAGGGGTGTCCGGATCTGCCACATATCGCACATTTCATTTCTTGTCTGAACATTGCTATTCTTACCTGCTCAATATTTTGCTTTTCTTCTTCTGATTCACTTTCTATTTCTTTATAATTTATTTTCTTTTTAGCTCTCAATTCCATTTTGTGTGTTTTCTGGTTCTGATTTTTTAATTCACTATTTTCAATCTTGTCCTTTTCCCTCTCAATTATTTTTTCGGGCATTTCTGCTTTTAATTCCATGGGATATAATAAGGCAATTGCGCGGGTAATGATTTTTCCTTTAACCCGAACTTTAGCAATTCTTATTAACCCGTCTTTACTTTTAATTAATTCAACAATTTTACCCAAGTTCCAGGCTTGTTTTGGCACCTGTTTATTTTGTATCAACACTATTTCACCAATTTCGGGCAAATAATTTTTCTTGTACAACTTCTGATTATGTTTATCTGCCCTTTCCTTTAGCTTATTTAAATACTCTTTTTCCCATTTTTGCCAAAAATGATTTAACATTTGATTTGAATTTTCCCATTCTTTAATTAATATTTCTCTTTGGGTTTCCTTTTCTAAAAATTCTTTTTCATCGAAAATTTCTAACTCTATATTTTCTTCATTACGTGATGGTAAAATAAGGTCAATTGGACGCAATACAGTATAGGCGTCGTCAAAGTTTTCGTATACATAAGTTAGTGGTCTTTTATTCATAATTGTTTTTATTTCTGAAAGTATTGTTCTTAACTCCTCATAGTTTAACATTTTTCTGCCTATAGCAGCCTTTAAAGAATTTTTCATAATTTTTACCATGGCCTCATATAAGCCGCCAAACCATGGGCTGAGGCTTGGGATAAACTGCCAATGTATTTTTTCTTTTTCTGTTTTTTGTTCAATTTCTTGTATTACTTTACATGTTAATTTATATTGCGTGCCGTTATCGCTTATAAAATATTTTGGTTTGCCGTATTCCGATATAAATCTTCTCATGGCTTGTATACAAGATTTAGCTGATAGACTCGGTACCAATTCCAAATGCGTGAATCGTGTGGCCATACAAGAAAATATTTCAATCCAGACTTTTACAATTTCACCACCACTATTTTTTACTTCAAAGGGACCGGCATAGTCCAGTCCCGTGTTTTGAAACGGCTTTGAACGCAAAATTCTTTCTTTTGGGAGATCTGGCATTTTTGGAATTGAGTATGGCAATAATTTCGCTCTTTTACAATGTAAGCATCGATTTATTATTTTCTTTATTAATTGCCGTCCGCTTGGTACCCAAAACATTTGTCTCAATTCAATTAAACTTTGATTAATTCCACTATGTAATGTGCGCAAATGCGCTTCTAACGCAATTTTTTCTGCCAGTGGGGCTTCTTTTGAAATAAAAATAGGCGTTGGTGTGTTTATATTTCCTAAACGCCCTGGGCAAGTCCACATATTATATTTTTCTTTTTTCATTT